ACTGCTTCTATTCGCAGTTCTAAAGCCAACGCGGGCAGCTTTGCGTCAAAATGCCAGCCAGCCCACAGGACACCAGGACCTCACGTGTCAGGACAGTTGAATAGCACACACAAAGCCCTAAGGACACGAGCTGGCACCCAGTGCTACAGAAATGCTCAGAAAGGCATGAGTGACATGGAAACCACGGGGCTGTGGATTCTCCGGACACAGGCTTGCAATCTGGCTAAGAACCGGACACACCACAAGCCCCGTGCTCCGCACCCTACAATGCGTCCTCGTGGTGTCTGTGGGCCCACAGTTCCCACATCAGTTCCCACATCTGCTTCCGAGGTACCAGCCGTGTGGATTCAGAAAGCCCTCCTGTTCTGTCCTGGTCTCCCTCCAAAGGTGGCTCTGGGGGCAGCACACCTGTCCCTATAGCCTTTCCCTGCACCAAGAGGTTCTTTATCCCACGGTCCCTCGGACCTACAAACAAACCTATTCAAAGACCAAAATTGGGGAAGGTTATGTGCCAGACAGGGCTGGAGCCTGTAGTTCCTGAAACATTGACGATTGCCTAAACTTGCTCGTTTCCCTCCTGCCAATTGAAACGGGACCGGCTCACGTTTGCTGGCAGAAGAGCCCGAGCACTCACAGGACCCCATGGCGCCCTCTGGTGGCCGAGCCTGGAGTGGCTTTGTAGGAAACAGGCTGAGCTGAAAGCCCTGCGCCCAGGACACCCCGTTCTTTCCCCAGACCCCCTACTCTCTGGACACCACTTCCACCCCGAGTAGTGCATGCTGTTGCCTGAGAGGTTTCTTTCGTGGGGGGAGTGGAGTGGGATGGAAACGAAGATGGAAGCAGGCTGGACACTGGTGCCCACCATGACCTCTGCAAGACAAGCTTCCAGGGCCAGATGAGGCTGAGGCCTGCACCCAGAGCCGCCTCCTTGGGGAACTGCCTGGGAGGCCGCAGTGGCACGTGGGACGGCCAGCACCGCTGGGGAAGATGTCACTGGCCACGTGTTCCTGGTACCCGTGTAGAAAAGGATACTTGAGGCATTTTGCCCATTTAGTGGTGGCCGATTCGAGGCTCAAGATGGCTGCTAGATTTCAAAACATCTCTAGAAAACAAAGCGCCTCAAAAAACCAAGTGACCTCCTGGTGGCTGTGGCCCAGGCCACATTTGCCCACTCAATCTGCTGTCTGGTAACAAGAGGAAGGCGTGGGCAGGGACTGAGGCTCGAAGCAGGCTCCCCAGCACTGGGGCCCACAGGCTCCGGACCCGATAGGACTGCAAAGCCGGGTGAGGTGGGCTCTTTGCTGCAAGGCGCAGGCCCAGACCAGTCCACTGCCCCTAGGACTGGCCACCACCACAGGAAACCACTTAGCATTGAACACAATTCCAACAGTGCCGTAACCGGCCGGTGGATCAGGGCAGGTCCAGAAGCGTTGAGGCGGCTCCTGGGGGCTGAGGACGCTCTGCCTCCAGAACCGGACCAGGGACTGCAAACAGTGGGCCAAGCCCACGGCCTGCCCTGCCAGCAGCTCGAGCCTCCTCTCCTGTCTCAGCTGTGGACTGGCTTTTGCTCCCAACTGTGTAACAATCAATCTGTCAGTGATTTTGTTACACAAATTAAATGTGAAAAAACTTGTTTTTATGAAAGCCAGATTTAGTTGCTTATAAAACTTGCTGTTAGATTAGGTATAGGTGAAACTCATAAAGGATTGAAGAAAATTAGTGTCTAAAATTATAAAAGAATTCTAGAAGTTAAATTCCTTCAAATGTTTCCATTCTTTATCCATTTCAAAGGAAGCCCATGCTGAAAATCACTGAAAATAATGCATTATCGTGAACAAAGGTCCTTGCCCCCAAACAGCAATTTCTCTCAATTTTAGTGTTTACTAAATGGATATAATAGGTCTGACAATTAAGTTCGGGAGCTTGTTGCAACAATGTTGCTAACATTTTTTGGTATCAGAGGCATTATTCATTATGAATTTGTGCCAACTGGACAGTTAACCAAATTACTATTTGGAAGTGCTGAAAAGACTGCGTGAAAAGGTTAGACGACCTGAACTTTTCACCAATTCATGGCTCTTGCATCATGACAATGCACCAGCTCACGGCACTGTCTGTGAGGGAGTTTTTAGCCAGCAAATAACTGTATTGGAACACTCTCCCTACTCACCTGATCTGGCCCAATGACTTCTTTCTTTACATGAAGATAAAGGAAATATTGAAAGGATGGCATTTTAATGATATATAGGACAGCAAGGGTAATACGACAGCTCTGATGGCCATTCCTGAAACAGTTCCAAAATTACTTTGAAGGGTGGACTAGGCGCTGGCATCGGTGCATAGCTAGCTACCCATGGGGAGGACTTCACAGGTGACCATAGTGGTATTTAGCAGTGAGGCATGTAGCACTTTTTTTTTTTTTTAAGATTTTATTGGGCAATCAGGGAAGGGGAAGACAGGTAAACAAATTGCTGTTTTGTTCTTCAGTCTAGTTGTGGAGGACGTTGCTTCACTGGCACATGTTGGTATGATCACTGTGCTCTTCCCCGGTGAGGCAACTGGTTGCCGGTCATTGGTCCACCGCTCACAGCAGCTCTCACCCGCTGCTGGTCACACTGGCTGCCAGCCACTCACGTAGCACATGGCAGCCCAGCTCCAGGTAGAGCTGTTATTCACCATCTTAGCTGTAGAGGGCGCAGCGTCACTGGACCTCAATGTGGGACCCAAGCCCCAGCCCTGCTGCTCAGAGCTGGTGCTCCCAAGCGAGCTCTTAACCAGCTGAGCCACTCCGTCGGCCCTGTAGCACTTTTTCTAGGATGAGTTTGCAAATTTAATTGTCTGACCTCATACATTCAACTTAGGTTAAACTGAACATATCATTTTCATCCTTTAACTGACTTTCTGATTAACCGTCAAGCTACCCATCACACTCATATGCAAAGGGGGCTTTCTGCCATCTGTGTTCCCACTGGAGTCACGGCTGGAGGGGACGCAGTGGTATGGGCAGACCAGTCAGTACCTGACAGGTTAAGTTTGCCAGGAGCTAGATTTTCTTGGGGAGAGGGTGTCTTTGGCATTTACGTAGAACAAGTAACTTTTGTTTCCTCAGAAAGGCAATGTTTTCTCTATTTTCCCATCCAAGAGGAAGGAGAAAGAACAGTCCTCTGGCTTCCACTCACCTGGAATTCACCCGATGACCTCCTAAGTCCACTCCCGTCGCGCTGTAGCAGGTCATCCTGAAAACGAGACACATCTAAGCCCAACAAGTCCCCGCTCTTCCCCTCATACAACAAAACCGGGAGCTGGGCAATCACTTCTGTTGCTGGCTGGCTGTGCATGCTCCACGTAGACCGATAAAAATGCAGATGGATTCCTAAGCCGACCATCTTGAAACATGAAAATTTGTTATCAGAAATTTGGAAGAAGTGAAATATACACTACAGCTTGATTCTTCATGCTTTGAAAACGGGTTTACAAGTTTTACTTTATACAGTGTATTGTTTAGGAAGCTTTTCAGCAACATTTTTATTACAAGGCACACATGGGACTGAGAGGCTTAAGCAACCACATGCGCAGACTGACGCCAAGCTGCAAGGCTGTGGCCCTGCTGCTGGAGCCGGAGCTGAGGCCGCTGACCCTCGTGTGAGCTAAGGAAAGGCACCGCCATCTTCAGTGTTCTGCGGCTCTTCTTCCCAACGGGCAGAGTTTCATCGGAAGGGGACTGTTTCTGAATCGTTATGGGGAGACCACTGCAACACAGGTTGCTGCCTGGCGCACACTAGCAGCCACTGACTGGTGGCACTGACTGGTGAGACACTCGCCGTCCGTTCTATCTTCTGTTACAGGCTCACGGCATCTGCAATCACTCCAGGCTGTCATATGGCAGGAAGTCTGACAGGGCTGAGCTCAGGAAAACACCTATGGCCACCAGATAAAGCCAAACACCCGTCAAGATGGTAGGTGGAAGAAACAGAGCCCGTTGCCAAGGCCTTCTGAGCCGGGGGAGGCGGGAGCAGCCAGTGCTAACCCCTTCCGGATGGGTGTCCACCCTCTCGGCCTAATCCTGGTAATCCTGCAGACACCCGTCAGCTTGCTTTTTATGACGTCTGCCAAAACACAAGACCCAAAGTGCCGTCTTCACACCTCTTTTGTAAAGCTCTGCAGGGCAGAATGCAGAGGGGTTAATTCCTGCGTTTACTAAGTCCTGCCCCAGGCTGCACTTCGCTTTGGGTTAACCTGGAGACACAAAATCGAGCCCCACCACTCAGGCGAGTGCTGCCGTGAAGTTGTAAAGCAGCTGGCCTCTGCACGGCCAGCCGCGGCGACTCTCCAGGATACACACAGCACACCCTTTATTCTATGTAAGAAATCCTGACTTGGAAGGAAAACCAGCAAGTGGCCGCTGAGGCGCGACGGGGGCCTTGTCCACCCTTCGATGCCAAGCTCACCAGGTTCTCTCCCCACTGACCCTGGCTCTAGCCCTCTCAGGGATCCCTCCTCACGAGCTGTAGGACTGAGATGGAAAGTGGCAGCTCTGCATGTCTCTGCGCACACAACAGATGGCGCTGAAGGTAGTACTGGCACAGGAGCCCGGGGGCACTGCCCAGCTTTGTCATTTATGGCAGTAATTCTGGGCCATCACTCTCAACTTCAGCGTCACAAGGTCCTCACGTGGGGAGGGGAGGGTTTCAGTCCCCCTCCCCACAGATGCTTTGGTCAGGACAACCTGTAGGTGTAGATGGAGCGCGGTTTGTGTATCAAATGGGCTAACCTCTCTGCAGGCAGAGGCTCTTCCTTCCAGCCGCCGGGTCCCCCCTCACGCTTATTTTCTCAGTGGACCAGAGACAGCTGGCATCCTGTCCCAACGTCGGGACTCTAAGAATGTGGACATTTAAGGCCAAACCATCGTTCCAGATCGCGCTCGAGATTCTTCTCTGTTGGCCCCTCAACCCCCATCAGACAAAGAAAAACATCACAACTCTGGGAAAGTGCAGACAATCTGGAGTCATTCTTAAAGAGATTTAATGGCGTGAACTGCATAAAAGGGGTTAGTACATTGAAACTCTGCCACATCACTGCCGTTTCTGGGTTGTTGTTTTTTTTTATTAAAGATCCACTAGTTCTACCCACCTTCAGGTTTATGGCTATAGAGTGTGGAGAAAACCAGTATTAGCAACAGAACAGGAAAAAGCAAGCAGGATTCTGTTCTGATCACCAGACTGACTGCTCCACTGCAGAGCTGTCCTTTATAAGCAAAGGAGCTATGGGCCACCCACAAGCATGGCGACGGCCAGGGTCAGGAGGACAGGCGGCATCGGGAGGGCAGAGCCCAGCTGCTCCAGCCTCCCTCACTCAACCCACACTTGCCAAGCCTGTCAGTTCCTCTGACACTGAATCCTAAGCCGACTCCCTGTGAGCTCAGATATGACGCAACGTCATCCCACAGGAGGGCTGACGGGATCTGGGAGAGTCCTGGCCACATTCTAAGGGAGCATGGCTTCAGAGACAGACTCTACTCCTTGAAGACTTGGGGGTTGGGGGGTGCTTATCACTGGGGACTGACGGCTCTGTGGCCCACAGCGGAGCGGGACGCAGGAGTCCCTGGCGTTTGCAGGCTCCCGTCTGCAGCCTGGCTGAGCAGAGGCAAAAGCAGGCAGCCCCCTGGCACAGGGAGGAAGGGGCCGCAGTCCAGCGGCTGAAATAAGCAGCATGTAGTGTTCTGTTAGGACCAAGGATTTATTCACAATATGAACTGCAACATTTGATACAAGCTACCAAAGAACAGGAGAGGAAGGAGAGGCAGGAGGAAAGTCAGCTACAGCTGTGCGAGCGCTCAGAGCAGTCCCTTTTCCACGCCACCAGCTCATCGGTGACACAAGAAACCAGACGTCTGCGTTCTGCACATCAACCGATTGCCGAAGCACCAACACACCATTTGGAAGTTTGTTTTGTTTTAATTCCAGCCACTGAAACCAACATAGAAGTTATTGCTTAGATAAATAAACCTAGTCTATGAGGGAAAAGAAAAGTGGGTAAAGAAACAAACAAAAACCCCAAAAGTGAAAAACTTAAGCTCCCCAATATGGTAACAGAGTAAACAAGAGAAATTCCTCAAATGAGGATTTACTGGAATTTCTGGTGCCCTCTGGGCACTGAGACTGAGTTGGACTCGTTAAGCCGGTAAATCCCAGACAGAGGTCGGATTTTACGCTGGGCATGAAGAGGTGTGAGCTCCACTGCCTTCCAAATTGTGGAAACCCTGCAGAAACAGTCAGCATTGCAAACCTCGACAACCACAAACAGCTCTTTAGGGGAAAAAATACAAAAGGTGTCAAAAATTTTTTTAGTTGTTTTTTCTTTTTTTCAAAGAGTTCTGGAAAAACGATCCATAAGGAATAGAAATAGCACCGTTTACAGGCTGGTCTGGGCCCCAGTCCTGCAGCTTTGCAGAGAACTGACGGGGTCGTGGGCGAGTCCTGAATGACAGTGAGTACTGAGTGGGGTTACTTCCGGCTCAGCGCGTCCTTCACAGTGCAGCCCACACAGACGTAGTCTTCCTTCTCTGCCATCTCTGGAGAAACACCAACACAGACCTGGTGAAACCACTGGTTGCAGCTGCCATCACACTGGACCCAGTCCACCTGGTTACAAAGAGCAGGGAGACGGGGTTTTCAGAGGAAAAACGGGATTCAAAACTGGGCAGGCCGGCCTCGAGGCGTTCAGCCATTTGCCACTAACAGCCACTGTCCCACCACTGGGACCTCTGGCCCACCAGCCAAAGCCATTCCTCAAGTCGTGACTGCTTTGGGGTGGAGACTGCGCTGCCCTGTGTAAGTAAGCAAAGGGCGTTACATCAGCCTCCCCCCACCTTCTTAGCGCCAGGACGGTGAAAGCTGGAGGAGCAGGAAAAGGAGGACAAAGGGAAGAGAAGAGTTTCTTCCAGAAAAGAAAGAAGACCCAGGAACGATGGCAGGAGCAGAGGTGTCAGTGGGGGAGGGCTGACAACCCTTCAGAGCAGCTCAAAGCAGGTAAGCGAAGAGAAGGACCCAGCGAGGTGAGGTCCAGCTCACGGGGTTCCTGAGTTAAGGGGAAGCACGTCCTCTACGGCCCACACCTCACTGACCTCGTCTCCTTCCGGCTGCAGGCAGCTCACAGCCGGGCAGATGGCGTCTTCATCCTCAGAGTCCTCCTGCTCAGAATAGGACGTGTCTGAGGGCAGGGAATGGGTTTCGGCAGAGCGGGCTGCCTCGGAGCCACGCTCTCTCGCTAACTGGACATTGTCCGTGTCCTTGGGGTGGCTCAGTTTGAGTTTCTTCTTCCTGGGGGTCCGCATTTTCCTCACTCGATCCCTCCGCTCGCTGGCAAAACCTTCTCTGTCCAGGCGCCTCTTCAGTCTCCTCTCCAGGCCGTTGAGCCCGTCTCGCTTCCCGCGGCAGCCTTCGTTCTGGGTGGGGGACGGGCAGACTCAACGTTAGCCTCAGGCTGGCCTATGACTGAACTGGTGAGGCTGTTGGGGGCCCCTCTGAAAGAGAAGGGGGGCCCCCATCGACACTGGGAAAGCACTGCCTCCTAACACCCACCATCGCCCCTCCCGTCCTGCCAGTGCTGGGAGAGGGAAACAGGACCGGCCAGGAGGTGGAGAGATGCCTCCTTTCTTCTTTGTGCCAAATCCGTGAGTGAGTAACTGACGACTATGAGGTTTCCACCTGGGTGTTACACGTTTGTCCTTTGACCTACGGATGTCTAAGGAGTCATGCTGATCCCTCCCTTCCCTACAGGAGGAGCCTTAACCAATTACAATCGACAAGGGTGCCTTGCTATTTGGTACCGTGATGGTGAATAAATTTCTCAACGCCAGCACCGGCCCTCCTGCCCTCTCCCGACTGTGTTCTCGGGCCAGTTTCCAAACAGGCAGAAGCAGCAGCACCTTCAATGGTGCTGCGAAACAGGACATTCCAGTGTCCCCCTAAGTAAGCAGCACCCACTACAGGCGGGCATCCTGTTCCTCCAGCCCTCCCCCCGGCTGTCTTGCTGGGGGTTAGAGGAGCTGAAGCATTTGCTAAAAGGTAACTCCAAGGATAGCTTTGATTTCTGAAGGGTATCTTTACCCCAACTATACTCGCATTTTCATCTCTACAGTATTTCTCTTACAGAAGAAAAATAACCCTGCTTCTAGCTGTCACCATGTGGGAATGACGAGAAGCCCCTTGCTACAAAGAAAGAAACTTGCGGTTACTTGAAAACCAGGACCGAGCCAGGGGTGTGAGCCCCACGTGGTGGCCAGGCACGCGCCTGCTCACCGGCAGAACCTGCACCCGGTTCTGGGTCAATGACGGCCCAGAGCTGTGAGCTGCTCAGAAGGACAGACGCCAGGCAGCACGCTCCCCACCGACTGTCTCCCCAGCAGCCTCCCTCCCAGACACTCGCCTTCTCACTGCTGAGTCTGACTGGGGAGCTCTGGCCAGTTGGCTGCGCAGGGCTGGGCTTCGCAAGCAAAGTCCGGTACAGTTCCTGGATTTCAGGGAGGGACACCTGGAGCAGCTGCGCCTCCATCAGCAATTCACTCACTTCGGCGCTGACACCTGCAGAGACCAGACCAGCATGATGCCGACGCCGGGCACCCACGTGGCACCCAGACCCGGGACTCCAGCAGAAGGCTCACCCTTGTGCCACTACCAGCCTCTCCTTAAACTGCACCCAGCTCAAGTTCAGGTTCACTTCAAGTGCCTCAAGTCACACTCCCAGAGAGCCCAGACTAGATCTCCTAAGTCCTCTGATGACACGGGGAGTGCTAGCTCTACGCCGAAGCCCTCCTCCTCACTCACTGCTGACGCAGAGGAGAAGGGTCTGCCTTGACAGCTGTTAACAGAAAGCACAGAACAGCCCTGGGCAGCGGCCACTGTGACGTGGTGATGAGGGATGGGGTCAGGTGATGACTCCAGGCAGAACTCACGGGACAGTCATTTACAGGGAAAGACAGGCGAGGAGGAGGTAGCTTCCCGGGGGGGTTTATGTCTAGGAGCCCCCGCAGTCTGCTAATAATGAAGGAACGAGGCAGCCTCTGACTTAACCTCGGGTGGCAATGCTGTTTAGCCTCGGCCCTGAAGGCAATGGATATAAATAAAGACTTCCTGTTTCCTGTGTTGATAAGCCTTCAAATGTGATCCTTCTCTGCCTTGCAAACACATGGTAACCCGTATCCCACATCTGAGGGTCAAATCCTTTTTTATGATCTAGAACAAAAACCCACTGCACCACCAACTGTTACTATCCATCCCTCAAAACAAAAATAAAAAAATAAAATACAAACCATGGAGGGGGATGCAACTGCGTCCAGTAAAAAAGGGAGAGGGCGAATAAGAGGTTCTGCAGTCTCGGTCATCAGGCGAGGAAGAGGAAGTCGTCCCGGGAGGCGGACACACCTATGGGAGACAACTCTCTATGGGAAGGCTCTTCCAGGGCTACAAACACGCCCAACAGCCCAGGTTATCAGACGGGCGGCCCAGCAGACAGACTTGACTCTCCCAACTGAAAGGCGTCTCCTGGCATCTTAGATGTGGCCAAACCCACTCTCGTCCACCATCCTTCAGCCCTCCTGGTTTTACTTGGACAGGTTTCAGAGAGGGGAAGCGCGCCAATGGGAATGAAGTCCTTTTTCTCACGTGCACCTTGTAACCCCTACGTACCTCTCCTTAAGAGACTCTAAGGCGGTGAACACAGCAGCCTCTGAGTAAACCAGCTGAGGAGCGGCCAAGACCGTCACACCCACCTTCCTACCTCCTTTCATGTCCACTAAAGGACAAGCACTCCTTGGACCCCAGATCAGTAAACTTGCTCAACAGCTGTGTCCTTTCCCTGTACTGAGCAACTGCTAGCACGTCTGGTGTAAGAAAACAAACGTCTCGACTGAAGGCCGCCCAAAGGGCCACAACTCGCCTACACAACAAAAATCGGATCAGTCCCAGCTGAGTGCCAGGCACTGTATTGCAGAAGCCTGGGATAAAGGATAAAAAACGAGGCGATAAACATGGCAGAGAGCAAGTCTCCTGGCTGCCTCTCCATCTGCTGAGCACGGAACCCAGACTTCAAGTCTGCGCTCCCTCCTCAGGCACAGGCAGGTGTGCTGTCTCTGCTGGAGAAATCTGTGTGGGTTGAGCCCTCAGGGGAGCCCATGAAGAGAGGGACATTCTTTTCCTGTAGACACTTCCACAGGAGACAGAAAACGCTGCGATCCCAGGGACAGTGAGAAGAGTCTGGCTTTCGGCAGCAAGATCACAGATGGTCTGAACCCTACTGCCCTTCCTCTGACGAGCACACCCTCCAAAGCCTGCTGCTCACAGGGCAACACCACTCGGACCCTTTCCTACTCATGGCTGACATGAGAGAGGGGCTGGGGAAAACAGTCAGGCAAAAAGGTGTCACACACAGAGGTATTACGTACAAGTCTGGGTCCATACACCTCAACATGGGGAAGGCTCTGTACACATGAAGAGCACAGGGTCCGCTCCAGACAGAGTGCCCGAGACACAGTCCTGGCCACCGGAGGCCACCCGGTAGGTACCCAGGGGAGCAGAGGAAGGGGTGGCTCACCTTGCTGGTCTCTGCCGCCAGCCCTGCCGGGGCCTGCCGCTTGCTCTGGGACAGTCCCGGGCCCGTGCGGCCGTGCGCAGCCCTGAGGCTCCCGGACGACAGCAGGTGCTGGGCTCTGTGCTGCCAGCTCACGGTCCGTTCGATCATGTACCGCAGCGCGTCCCCCTCGGGAAGCCGGACGCGGATGCGCTGCAGCGAGGCCAGCAGGGGCAAGATCTTCTCTAACGGGGGCTTCTCAGACCGCCGGCAGTGGGGGCAGAGCCAGACGCGGGGGCCCTGCGCAGCGCCGGGGACCGCCACGCAGCTGGTGTGGAAGGCATCCCTGCAGAGTTCGCACTGGACCATTGGGGCGGCTGGCGCCTTCTGACACACGCAGATCTTCGTCTCCACGTCCGGGACAGGCGACAGCCACTTTCCCTCGTTGGCTAGTCTGAGAGACTGCATGGCTTCCATTTCCCTTAGGCGAGCTTCCCCCAGTGCTGCCATCTGAAAGGAGGGAACGGCGAGGACAGTGTCACAGACCCCGCCTTCTCCTGGGCGCCCAAGGAGACCATCTGCATCCAGACCCTGGCTCTGCCCACGAGCGTCTGAGTGACCTTGGGCAACACACACCACTGTGGCTCAAGTTCCACATGCAGGACAAGGAGGGAGTGACAGTGCCCACCTACCTCACAGGCTGCAGTGGTGACTGCGTGACAGGCCTGTGGCTGCACACGCTCTGCCTAGCATGGTGAGCGCTCAATGTGAGGAACTACCCAACACACACCACTTCCTCAGAGTCCTGCTTCCTTGCTCAGTTACCTCCTAGAAATGTGCTTCTCTTGGAAGCCACAGGCTTTCACATTCTCTGTGCACAAGCTTCCCCACAGTCTGTTAGCTTGTGTGTTCTCCTGAAAAGGTACTTAGGTGGACAGATCTCCTAGAGCACCCACTGCACAGGAGCAGGCCACGCCTCTGACTGCCTCTGACACTGTGGCCGCACATGTGTGTTGGACACAGCAACTCTAGAATATGACCCTGGATACCTCATGAAAAATTAAATAGAAACCAGCTTACCAGACTTTCTTACATGCACAGACATGCACACAGGCTTGATGAGAGTAAAATGAAACTGTTAGGGCAAAGATAAAAGCAAGCTGCTTTTCTCCAGAAAGTGGCAAGTAAACTCATATTGTAAAGTCTTTCCTCTCTATTAAAACAAGAGCAGGCTGGCCAAGTGGCGCGTTGGTTAAGAGCTGGCTTGGGACGCCAGAGGGCCCCGGTTCGGATCCCACATATGAGGGCCAGTGACACTGCCCTCTACAGCTAAGATGCTGAACAACAGCTCAACCTGGAGCTGGGTTGCTGTGAGTCGCCGGCGACGGCTTAGGATGCAGCCCCTGCTGCAGTGGGTTGCCATGGGCTACCGTGTGTAGCCAGCAGCCAGCGTGAGCAGCCGTCCAGAAGCCGGCGACTGATCTGCCTCGCCCGGGAAGAGCGCAATGATGGTACCAACTTGGGCCAGTGAAGCAACGTCCTCCACAACTTGTCTGTTCCCCTTCCCCCATTTCCCCAATAAAAATCTTAAAAAAACAAAACAAAACATAAAAACCAAGAGCCATGTCCCAGGAAAGTGCCAAGTTCAGTTAACCTGTATGAATGACTCGAAAACACACAAACAGAATCAAGCTCACAGTGAAAAGCTGGAGTGACAGTGAACACGGTTCTGACCCGTGTGTGCCAGCTGTCTATCAGGGGCTTTCACACGACACACGACGCACCCACTACGTACGCGTGTGAGGCACCCCAGACACAAGTAAGTGCAGGTGCCTCAGGCTTATTCACTCGGCACCATGAAGGAGAAGCAGTGTCTGAAGGTGACAACTTCCAAGCTGGCTATGTCAGTTAGCCACTGCCACCTCTAACTTACCGTGCCCTTTCCTCAATAAAAGGCTGGATCACCAGCTGTCCCCAGAAACCCCCTGATAAACACACATAAATGGGGACGCGCACACCTTTAAAACTGAGCTTGCCCCTCGAGAAACAAAAGCTACGGGCCACAGGAACGACTCCTTTCCCAGCTCTATTCCCCAGTCTTTACAATGTTAATTTGTCACAGTTAGGCTGTTCCCAACCATCACATCTGCCCACCGGCAGCTCCGTGGCTCAGCAGCGGAGGCGCCCCGAGTGCTAAGGCCAGGATGAATCTCCATTTTGTCCTTTTGGATTTGAGAAGAAAATGTGTGAATGCGGGATCAGCAAAGAAACCAAAGATCTAGCAGTAAACTGGGTAGCAAACCTTTGGTATATGCAAAACCACCCACTTATTTCTGCAAACAAAAACCAAGCGCCAGCGCTATGTCTGGGTCAGTGGTAACAAGGGGCCTTCCTACAGGTTACAGAGGGCTAACGACTGCCGTCAGTCCCCTATGAAATCAACAGGGAACTGACGAGCTCTTAGATGAGGGGCTCACAGTCCACGCCTAAAGACACAGCAGCCGAGTTCAAACCAGTGTCCCCAGAGACATGCTAGCAGGAGATGGCTCCTCAAAAACACCACAATTCTGCCCAGGAAGCAGAATCCGACGTGAATTCTGACTGAGTGTAGAGATGCCCAAGAAAGGCTGTGTCAAAAACCAAACGAATCAAGGCAGTCCCATGGCAATCACAAGGAAGGGCAGGCTGCTATGAAGGAAGAGGCTGGGAAGGTGCCCGGTCCCGTGCTAGGAGCAGGTGCGTTTCCACTCCGGACGGGCAACGCTTTGTACCATTACAAGCATCCAGGTGGGACACATCCAACTAAAAAGCTTCTGCGCAGTGAAGGAAACCATCAACAATGAAAAGGCAACTTGCCAAATGGGGGAAAATACTGGTAAATCACATAGCTGATTGGGATCAAACCCCAAATTACACAGAGAAGTTGTACAACTCAACAGTAAAAAACAAAAAAAATCCAATTAAAAACCAGGCAGAGGATCTGAATAGACAGCTTTCTAAAGAAGACACTCAAATGGCCAACAGGTACATGAACAGGTACTCGACATCACTCAGCATCAGGGAAATGCACATCAAAACCACAGCGAGACATCACTTCACACATGTTAGCGTGGCCATCATCAAAAAGATAAGAAATGTCACGTGCTGGCGAGGACGTGGAGAAGGGAGCCCTGTGCGCTGTTGGAGGGACTGCAAACTGGTGCAGCCACCGTAAAGAACAGTACGAAGGCGCCGCAAAGCATTAAACATAGAACTACCTCATCATGACCCAACAATCTCATTTCTGGGCATTTATCTAAAGAAAACGAAATCACTAAAAAATATCTGCACCCCCATGGTCACGGAAGCAGTTCTTACAATAGCCAAGACATGGAAACAACCCAGGAGTCCATGGACAGAGGAATGGATAAAGAAATTGTTGCACACACACACAATGGACTATTCCTCAGACACAAGGAAGGGAATTCTGCCATCTGCAACATGACGGACTTTGCGGGCATTATGCTCAGTGACACATGTCAGAGAAAGACTAATAGTATAATCTCTCTTATATGTGGAATCTAAAAAACCCCAAACTTATACATACAGAGAACAGACTGGTGGTGGCCCAAGGTGGGGCGTGAGCGACATGGATCAAGGGGTCAGGCGGCACAGGCGGAATTCCAGCTGTAAGGTCAGTCAGTCCTGGGGTGTAACGTCCAGGGTGGTGACAACCGTTAGCACTACTGGGTTGTATGTTTGAAAGTTGCTAAAGAGAGTAAGTAGACCTTAAAATTCTCATAAGACAGAAAAGTCTACGTGTGGTGACAGGTGTAACTAAACTTACTGTGGTGATCAGTTCACGACGTATAAGTATCAAATGATTATCTGGCACACCTGAGACTAAAAATTTTTTTAAAAGCATCGACATCACATAGCTGCCTCCTTTGTCCTGATGCTGTGCTCACTGAACATAGCTGGACACTGTTTCATCTTGAAGATGGTACCACCTTCGCATCTACAATGTTTTCTAAAGGTGGACCGGACTCGCGTGTCTAGCAACCCTGGACTGACCCACAGGCACATGGAGACCGATTCTGCGGAGCCCCTAAATCTGTTGCTGCCTCTTCAACTGGACAATTCCATTCAACAATTTCCAGAAAGTATTTTTGGCAAAACTGAGTGCTTTTAAAATTCTTCTTGGGCCGGCCGAGTGGCACACTGGTTAAGAGCTGGCTTGGGACGCCAGAGGGTCCCGGTTCG